GAAAGGGCAGCATTTTACTCTCTCCTCCAGCTCTGCTGTAAGCTCGTTTGAGCAGGGTCCTCTTCAGCCTATCGTTCCTGTAAGTTTTCTTGTAATTGTCCTATTTATAGTTAAATCCCCTCTCTCATAATATTGTAAAGCATTACGGAATCTGTTGGTGCTATATAAATGGCAATAATAATAATAAGTGGCTGCTGTTTGCAATAACAAGATAAGAAGGGGATGTGGTGCCATGTATGTGACGTGTCACCTGTCTGTTTTGTGTGATATGATTGCTATGCATAATGTGCTGTTTGAGTTATATGTGACAAGAGTGTGGTTTCTGCAGTAGTTGTAGCAGATGTAGTTGACAGACGATAAAAGAAATAAATAAACACGTGGAAGAAAAAATGAGCTCCTCTACAGTAACATCTCCTTCCACAATATCATAGTCAGTCAGTAAACACAACTGTAGACACATGTACGAAAATGTGAAACCAAATCCACATCAGTAGATTCACATACAATATCTCACAAAAGTGAGTACACCCCTCACATTTTTGTAAATTATTTTATTGCATCTTTTCATGTGACAACACTGAAGAAATGACACTCTGCTACAATGTAAAGTAGTAAGTGTGCAGCCTGTATAACAGTCTAAATTTGCTGTCCACTCCAAATAACTCAACACAGCCATTAATGTCTAAACCGTCAACAAAAGTAAGTACACCCCTAAGTGGAAATGTCCAAATTTGGCCCAATTAGCCATATTCCTTCCCTGGTGTCATGTGACTCGTTAGTGTTACAAGGTCTCAGGTGTGAATGGTGAGCAGGTGTGTTAAATTTGGTGTTATCGCTCACACACTCTCTCATACTGGTCACTGGATGTTCAATATGATATCTCATGGCAAATAACTCTCTGAGAATCTGAAAAAAAGAATTGTTGCTCTACATAAAGATGGCCTAGGCTATAAGAAGATTGCCAAGACCATGAAACTAAGCTGCAGCACAGTGGGTAAGACCATACAGCGGTTTCACAGGACAGGTTCCACTCAGAACAGACCTCGCCATGGTCGACCCAAAAAGTTAGGTGCACATGCTCAGCGTCATATCCAGAGGTTGTCTTTGGGAAATAGACATATGAGTGCTGCCAGCATTGCTGCAGATGTTGAAGGGGTGGGAGTTCAGCTTGTCAGTGTTCAGACAATACACTGCACACTGCATCAAATTGGTCTGCATTGCTGTCATGACCGAAGGAAGCCTCTTCTGAAGATGATACATAAGAGAAACCCACAAACAGTTTGCTGAAGACAATCAGACTAAGAATATGGATTACTGGAACCATGTCCTGTGGTCTGATGAGACCAAGATAAACTTATTTGGTTCAGATAGTGTCAAGTGTGTGTGGAGGCAACAAGGTGAGAAGTACAAAGACAAGTGTGTCTTGCCCACAGTCAAGGTAGTGTCATGGTCTGGGCCTGCATAAATCCTGCCAGCACTGGGGAGCTACAGTTCATTGAGGGAACAATGAATGCCAACATGTACTGTGACAAACTGAAGCAGAGCATGATCCCCTCCCTTCGGAGACTGGGCTGAAGTCTCAAGTATCAAGTATTCCAACATGATAACGAACCCAAACACACCTCCAAGACGGCCACTGCCTTGCTAAAGAAGCTGAAGGTAAAGGTGATGGACTGGCCAAGCATGTCTCCAAACCTAAACCCTATTGAGCATCTGTGGGGCATCCTCAAATGGTAGGTGGGGGAGCGTAAGGTCTCTAACATCCACCAGTTCCGTGATGTCGTCATGGAGGAGTGAAAGAGGACTCCAGTGGCAACCTGTGAAGCTTTGGTGAACTTAATGCTTGTAACGGACCATTTCAGCACACGAGGGGTTAAAACCGTTTAGGCGATCGTCCCCTTTCCGAGATGCAGGCACAGCTACTGTAGAACACCAAACTCCTGAACCACAAATAAGGGAATGCTCCAATCTCCCGAACTGCATACAATATAGCACTCCAAACTCACGAACCGGAACCATACGAATAGCTGCTAGCAGACGAATAGGAAAAGCATCTAAGCGGCTTACAATCCTAGCAATCAGTCTCTATCAGCATTCAGTAAATCACCCCAAAGACGAGACAAGGCTCTGTGTTGAGGGTCAAGCAGTGGTCTGTTTAATGAGGGCTACCTGCCCAGTATTTATGCAGGTCTCCCACCTGGTGGACACTCCCCTAGGGACCAAATGGGAGAGTGAGGGAGGGGGTATACTGTGAGGGGTGGAGGTGGTGGTGTGATGGAGGGGGTGGATACCAGAGGGTGGATACCGGGAGAGGGGGGTGATGGTGTGGAGGGAAGGCATACTGTGAGGGGATGGTGTGGGGGGATGGTGTGAGGATACTGTGAGGGGGATGGTGTGAGGGAGGGGGGATACCTGTGAGGGGTGATGTGTGAGGAAGGGGTTATAATTGGGAGGCATTACCTGGGAGGGGATGATGGTGTGAGGGAGGGGGTATAGTGGGAGGGGGTAATGGTGTGAGGAAGGGGTTATACTGGGAGGGAGGGGGGATACTGGGAGGGGATGATGGTGTAAGGGATTGGGGATACTGGGAGGAGGTGAAGATGTGAGGGAGGGGGTATACTGGGAGGGGGTAATGGTGGGAGGAAGGGGTATACTGGGAGGAGGTATACTGGGAAGGAGGGGGTTTACTTGAAGGAGGTGATGGTGTGAGGGAGGGGGTATACAGGCAGGAAGGGGTGATGGTGTGAGGGAGGGGGTATACTGGGAGGGGGTGAAATCCTATTTATATATTTAATGCCCTGGTGGGCCAGTGTCTTTCATTCCCAGTTGGTCCGGTGGTGATATCTGGTCTGCAGCTCCGCAGTTGGCAGAGCTACAGACCATGAATCTCGTGAGAACCGGTCAGAGTGTTGCCGTGGTAAGCCTCTGCAAGCTCTGACTGGCGAAATCTCGCGAGACACATGGCCTGCAACTCTGCACACTGCGGAGCTGCAGACTGGTGGCCATGGGTGCTATCCTTCTTGAGGGACCTCCCACCTGATGGCATACGAGGCCCCAAGCAGCTGAATTAGAGAGTCGCATCTGCCTAGATACACATACACACTCAGACTGACACAGATACATATACACACTGACACAAACACAAATACTGTTACAGATACAAATACACACTGACACACACAAGTAAAAAAGTACATATTTTATCAACCCCTGCTTCTATATCTTTTTGGTGTCGTGCAGGAAGGTGGCTTTGCTGTGGTCCAGTGTGACCTGGCTGCTGGATTAGGCAGGTGGGAGTCTTGTCAAGGCCTCCTCAGTCTGCTCCCCACACATCGTCTGCCCCCTTGTGCAGCTCTCATTGCAAGCTGGGAGGAAGAGGCTTGAATTTACTTCCTCCCAGCACTGCCAATGTGACAGGGGTCACACTGTTAAAGGGCCAAAGTGCTTGACCAAGCCCATGATCAGAGACACCCATCAGGTGTCCCTAAATGTGAGGGACGCACGAAGGCCCTCCCAGCTTGTGGGACCCGGGAGTTCTGCCATTGTTGGCCCCCAGTTAAATGAGGAATATTTTGGTTTATAGGGGCAACGGGAAGTGGAGCAATGGAACCTACATTATGTAAGTTCAGTTGACTCTGTGAAACAATGTATGCCTCAATTAACTATGGTGGTGGTGGTGGATTTTTTCATTACCTGTCTCACTCTAATGATTTCTTGAGGGCAGGGGATTTGTTCTCCACATATTCCTATGCCCATGGTTTCTGAGTTAGTGTGGATTGTAGTCAGCAGACTTTACAATTGCCAGGTTTGAGGCTGCTTCCAAGAGTTAGGGTACAGATGTTATTTGACCCCTTGGTAGTGATTGTATGTAAGTCCTTGTTCCTGAAATGCTTTTCGCAAGCAGCCTCCTTAATGCGCACCGGCCTGGGGGGTGCTAGGTTGGAGTGACTGGCAGGAGGTGGGCGCACAGCTCTCCCTCCTGCTAGGCACTTGGTTAGCATGGCCGAGCTGAGCAGTGCGCACCGTGGTACAGGAACTTATGCTTCCTGTACCCGGCCGGACTGAAAGGAAGTGCTCACTGAAAGAGCACTTCCTGTCAGTCCGGCCGGGTACAGGTGACTGAAGCTCCTGTACTGCGGTACGCTTGTTCACGCTACAATAAAGGTAGGAGACATACCAGGGCACTAAAGGGACGGGAGGAAGGAAAACTTTGTGAGTGGAAAAGGTGGAGGAAAACTATGGGAGGGGGAAAAAGAGCACTATGGGACAGGAGAGGAGGAAAAGAACGTTATGGGACAGGGGAGGGAGGAAAGAATGCTATGGGACAGGGGAGGGAGAAAAGAATACTATAGGACAGGGGAGGGGGGAAAGAATGCTATGGGACAGGGAAGAGGCAAAATAATGCTATGGGACAAGGGAGGGGGAAAAGAATGCTATGGGACAGGGGAGGGGGAAAAATAAAAGAGAGGGTGGAAGAACACTAGGGGGAGATGAACATTGTGGTGGCACTAAGGTACAGGGGAGAGGAAGGATAATGAACACCAGACCCTTCCTTCTCCTTGCAGACCCTTCCTTCTCCTTGTTGACCCTTCTGTCACATCCTGTTCCATGCTGATCAGTCTGGTAATGTCTTCTGGTATCCAGTACTCTTTTTCAGTTCTCGTTTAGTTTTTCTTGTTTTTTTGGTTTTCTATTCTATGTCTGGTTTTCTTTATGCTGGGTTTTTCTGGGTTCATTCCTGTAATCCGTCCCTGGAATTCCCAGTCTCCAGGTTTCCTTTAAATGTTTGTTTTATGTTGCCACACCCATTTTTTCCATCATTCCTTTTGTTTCAGTGTCCTGCAGGCAGCTGCTCAAGGCTTCTGCCCTTTCTTGTAGGTAAGTGCTATATATGTTTTCTTTGATTGTTTTAGCGAACATTAGGCAGAGTAGGATCTGCCAGATATGGGGTACATTGGCGTTGTTGGCAGGCTTATGCAATGTATGATCATATAATGTGACTAAATCCCCATGATTTTTATATATAGTACTTAGTTAATTCTCCTCTTGTTTTGCCTTTCATATCTTGTCTTGTTTGTATTCCCAGTCCTGTCCTGTCCTGTCTTGCCCATGTTATGTCTGTTTCCTTAATGTATTGTGTACATGTTCTGGGTTTAGCTTCCTATCCTTCTCTGGTTCTAGGTTCTGTTAGTTCTGTCTTGTTTTCATGTTTGGTGCCTTTCCTAGCCTTGCCTTGTTTCTGTACTGGATACATTCTTGCTGCAGAGCCTCTCTATTCAGCTCCTGTGAGGTCTGCTTAATTCCTGCTCCTAGTTCCCGGGATCTGCATAAGCTGAATCAGGGTTCTGGTGTGTGGCTGCAGACTCCCACTTATCATCAGGCATACTGGGTCCCGGTCAGTGTCTGGGTCCCGGGCACCGGACCGCCACCCTGACACCTTCCTTCTCCTTGTTGGCCCTTTGTGCTCCTTGCAGACCCTTTCTTCTCCTTGCTGCCCCATTCTGCTCATTTCTATTCTGCTTCTTCTCTTACTTTACCTGTTGTGCTCCTTGCTGTCCCTTCCAGCTCCTTGCTGCCCCTTTTTGCTCATTTCTATTCTGCTTCTTCTCTTACTTTACCTTCCTTCTCCTTGCTGACCCTTCCTGTAGGCTGTCTCCCCCATCCCTTACTTATCTGATCTATAGGCTATCTCTGCCCCCCCCATGCCTCATTCCCTGATCTGTAGGCTCTGCCCCCCATGCCTCATTCCTGATCTGTAGGCTATCTCTGCCCCCCATGCCTCACTTCCCTGATCTGTAGGCTATCTGCCTCCCCATGCCTCCTTCCCTGATCTGTAGGCTATCTCTGCCCCCCATGCCTCCACTTCCCTGATCTGTAGGCTATCTCTGCCCCCATGCCTCCCTTCCCTGATCTGTAGGCTATCTCTGCCCCCCCATGCCTCACTTCCCTGATCTGTAGGCTATCTCTGCCTCCCCATGCCTCACTTCCCTGATCTGTAGGCTATCTCTGCCTCCCCATGCCTCCTTCCCTGACCTGTAGGCTCCCGCCCCCATGCCTCCTTCCCTGACTCAGGCTCCTCTGCCCCCATGCCTCACTTCCCTGGATCTGTAGGCTCCGCCCCATGCCTCACTTCCTGATCTGTAGGCTATCTCTGCCCCATACTTCACTCTCTGGATCTGTCATTCCCTGCCCCCCCATGCCTCACTTCCCCTGTGGGCCCCCCATGCCTGGATCTGTAGGCTTCTGCCCCCCCATGCCTTCCCTTCCCTGATCTGTAGGCTATCTCTGCAGGCTGATCTCTGCCTCTGCCCCCATGCTGCCTCACTTACCTAATCTATAGGCTCTCTCTGCAACCCCCATGCCTCACTTCCCTGATCTGTAGGCGGTCTCTGCAGGCTGGAAGTTGCTGGCTCTGTGCTGCTCCCCTGCAGATTCAGTCAGGAGGGGGAAGCAGGGATAAGATGTAGCTTCCTATCCCTGTCTCTCTCCACACCGGTGCCTGTATTGCACTGTATTTTCAATCTCACACGAAAAATAGCAGAACAAGCTGAAAAATCCAGTTCCCCCTTGCCCCCCTCCCCCCCACGTGGACGCCCATGGGTGTAAGACACACAATAGGGAGCGAGGGGGGGGCTTGAATATCATCCCAAAAATCCTTGCACCGGCCCTGGGGATAGTGTGCAAGTAACTTTTTGTTTGGTTTTTATGTGGTTTGTCTGCCTACTTATAGTATAGTATTCCTCCAGATCTATGTAATTGGTTCAGGCTCAGTTTTCAATTGATAGCGTTGCTGACTTAGGCAGCACTAGTGGCATTTTTTTATTTTTTTGGGGGGATTGTGGACACTTTGATAACATTCTTGTGATATCAGCCAAAAATCATGAAACACTATTGAATAGTTAATGCTGGATTGTAATGTAGACCACTGTCACATATAGGAACTATATAGCTCTGAATAAAAATCAACAAGTTAGATATGTTAATATAATTTTGTGATAAAGAGCAACAGAGGAAAGAGCACAATCACGTGAATAAAAGACGATAAGAGAAAGATTTAAAAATGGTGAGTACAGAGAAGTGATGATCGTAAACTTTAAGTGCAGTATGGCCTATCATTTGCTATCTATGTGTATGTTAAAGCACATGAATGAGCAGTTAACAATGTTGATGTAATTACAACTATACCTTTCCCACCCTTATGACAGTGATTTGGCAAAAAAATGGCCCTATACGTTGCGTTAAGCAGTCAAGGTTAATCAACTAATTGAGACCACAACAGAGCCATTCTACAGTTACTGAATTCAACAGCTAAAAGGGAAGACAGACCACTGAAAAAACACTTTAAGAAACTTAGCAATCTGTTTGAGTTTGAATTTTAACAAAATTAGGGCGTAACGGCATAATTTCATTTTGGTGAGAGCAGGGTTAAATCTGTAGGAAATGTGTAACTAACTCTAACACATTTGGATAAATTATAGGGCAAGCTAAAACCGCAGAGAAATGTGTTTCTACTTTGTCAAGAGGATAGAAGCCCAAGATGGTGTAAAAATTGTGTAAGCATTATCATCAAAAACAAAGGTGTTCGGGGGGGGGCGTGGCCAACCGCCGAGCAACCTGGCTGCTTAGGAAATTGCTCCGGCACCCGGGCTCTCAGAATCCAACAACATCCTCTCTCAGAGCACTAAAACACCTCTCAAAATACATGATGTCGAACCCCAAAGGAAAGAAGAATGCACAGAAAAACGAAAAACTGAATTTCTTCACCCAAAAAAACGCAAGTAACTCTGAAGCTGAACGCGGCCCATATCAAGATGGAGCTGACGAACAAACAGCGGGAAACATCCCAAACACGGGCCCATCATATGAAGGCCAGGAAAACATGACAAAAACGTACCTAGATGAAGCGATGAACACCATGGCGGACAAACTTATAAAGACATGGCAATCCTCCATAGGACAACTCCGCAAGGAGATACAAGACATTGGTAGCAGAACCACACACGTGGAAAATAAACTAAGTGAGTATGTCACAGGGCACAACGACATGGCCAACCATGTGGCGACACTGGAACAAAAAATAGAAATAATGGAAGCACGTATGGCTGAAGCAGAGGATCGCTCACGGAGGAACAACCTCAGGCTGAGAGGAGTCCCGGAGACCATCATGCCGAATGATCTGCAGGCTTATGTTCAGGGCCTACTGCGGGCATACGCTCCAGACATACCCACAGATATGCTCTTAGTGGATCGGGTGCATAGGGTACCCAAACCACGCAACTTACCTGATTCCATTCTTCGAGACGTCCTCTTGAGGGCACATTATTTTCATATAAAAGAAGCAGTGCTGCGAGCTAGCAGAAACCGCACAGAACTGCATGAAACCTACACAACAGTCAAGATATTAGCAGACCTATCCACGGCGACCCTCAAACGCAGAAGGGACTTTCACCCAGTGAAAGAGGAACTGCGTTGCGCTGGAATTAGATACCGTTGGGGGTACCCTACCAAGCTGCTAATCACAAAGAACGGCGGGCTGAAAATTGTCCAAACACCAGAAGAAGGTACAGAAAAAAGAAAGGAAGGCAGCGCCACTACAAACCACATATATTAAAAGAGCATAGAATAGGCAGACTAGAATGCAATATATATAATAGATAATAAGCAAATAGAAGTCCAGAATAAATAGTCTGACTGGTAGATGAATCAAACAACGAGGTATATCTTTGTAGAGGTGAATACAGTCTTTAGTAGTAGGGGATTCTTTAGAGTGGTGTGGATGCATCTTTGTACATCATATGAAATGAAAAAATAACAACTGATGGTATAGTATGTCCCGAAAGGGGTAGAAGCAATAAATGAGTATATGGTCCTACTCACGTTTTCAAGAGCTATGGACTTAGCTCCAGTGTTGATAGCATACAGTGGTATAATCCCACTTATGGGATACGTGAGGTTTTTAGTATTCTTTCTTGATTAGGGAACCATATGTGGAAATAAAAGCAAGGAACAGCAATAGTGCTCAAAGTATAAAAAGCCAGAGGTGAGAAGATAAAAAAACCAAGTGGTTACTCACATTTAGTTGAACAGACTACCTGTTCAATGAATACAGCTTGAGTGGTATAATCCCCACCTAGGATTCTTGGGAGTAATATCCTCACTGGAAAGTAAAAATACTTCTGGTGCCAGATAAAAGGATGGTAGTAGTAAAAAAGTAAAATGATATTAGTAATAAAAAGTAAGATGGCTAACTCACAGTAAGAAAGTGGGCAAAATACATTCAAAACAACATAGTTTAAAAACCACAACGCGTTTCTCCCTTAGGCTTTATCAAGTGGAGATCAGAAAGTACATCCCGTTACATACAGGTTTATATAGGCAGTGAACATATTAAAAAAAGGAGCCAAAATGACGTCATAATTCCGTTTTTTTTTTTTTCAAAAGTGCTAAATTTTATATGTGTAAGTGACTACCTACCTATATGGGAAACATGTGATAGTTTAAAATTAAAAACGAGGTTTTATACTCACAATACCTTGCATATTATATTTAGATAGAACAGTCACATGATCGGCGGCCATTTTTTTTTTCCTTCAAAAGTGCTAAGCTTTATATGTATCAGTGAATACATACCTATATTGGAAACATGTGATAGTTTAAAATTAAAATTAAAAACAAGGTTTTATACTCACAATATCTTGCATATTATATTTAGATAGAACAGTCACGTATATAAGTCACAATATATAAGTCTATACTTCATGCACAAAATAATTATAAAAGATAATAAAATATAAGAAATATATTATAAAAAATAATTATAAAAAATTAAACAAGTCGAACTCTACATTAAGACCTTCAGGGGTAAGGATTTTTAAAAGGAACACCCAGTGCATTTCTTTTTGTCCCAGTAATTTTTTGAGGTCACCTCCCCTCCAGGGTAATTTACATCTTTGGATCCCAGTACATTTTAAAAATTTAGGGTCTTTGTTGTGTTGAATAAAATGCTTTGAAACAGAGTGATTAAGGTAGCCTTTGATAATATTTCTACAGTGTTCTGATAACCTTATTTTTAAGCATCGTGTGGTCATACCCACATACTGGAGGCCACATGGGCACTCCAATAGGTATACAACATTCTTAGTACTGCAACATATTAAATCTTTAATAGGGTATGTAATACCTGTTTTGTTTGAGGTGAATTGTGTTGTTTTTGATGTGCTGTTTTGGTCAGTGGATCTGCAGACAATGCATCTGTTGCATTTAAAAAAACCTTTAGAATTTGATAAAAATGATGGATTGCTTGTATTGGCTTTTTTTTGTATAATTTGTAGTAAGCATTGTCTTTAGGTTTGGGGCCCCTCTAAAAATGATATGGGGTTGATCTGGGATGAGTGTCTTTAAAATTTCGTCTTGTTTTAAGATGTGCCAGTGTTTCTGAATAGTTTTTTTCACAATTGTATTCTTATTGTCAAAGTTAAAGATGATCGGCATGAGTGGTGGGTCTATTTTTATTCGTAATATATTCGAAGAGCTCAAGACTTTCTTTTTGTTTCACTGCTTTGAGGGATTCTTCTAGCTTCTTTTGGGTAATTTTTACTGATAAATTGAGCTTCTAGTGTTCTAGTTTGTTTGTCGAAATCTGTATTGAGGGAACAGTTCCTGTGAAGACGTAGGAACTGACCTTTAGGGACCGCATCTAACCATGGTTGGTAGTGGCAGCTTGATCTGTCAATGACTGTGTTGGTGCACACTTTTTTAATAAAAGTTCTAGTGTTAATATTCCCATCCTGGATAAAAATTTGGATGTCTAAAAAAATAATTAAATCTTTGCTGTGTTCTGATGTTAAAAAGATGCCACTATTGTTGTTGTTTAGGTGGTTTAAAAAAGTTTAAGTGAGGTTTCAGGACCTTTCCAGATAAAAAAATCTATCTAAAATAGGATACTAGGTTTGCTTTCCAGGGGTGATCTCCCCAGATTGCTTTAGACTCCCAATTGTCCATAAAAAGATTGGCATAACTTGGTGCAAACCTAGTACCCATAGCTGTGCCTTGTCTTTGAACGTAAAAAGTGTCTAAAAACCAAAAATAGTTATTTGTTAAAATAATTTTTATCCCTTCTAAGATAAAATGAATTTGTTTTTCTGGAATTTTATTATCTGTTTTTAATCTATTTAAAACTGCTTCACACCCTAATTCGTGGGGGATTATGGTGTACAGACACTGGACATCACAAGTGACTAGAATAAAATCTGGATGACAGGTAAAATTTTCTAAAAAACGTAAGAGAGACATGGAATCTTTGAAGTATTATTATTATTGCCATTTATATAGCGCCAACAGATTCCGTAGCGCTTTACAATATTTTGAGAGGGGGGATGTAACAATAAATAGGACAATTACAAGAAAACTTACAGGAACAATAGGTTGAAGAGGACCCTGCTCAAACGAGCTTACAGTCTATAGGAGGTGGGGTATTAGAAACATTAGGACAAGAAATATCAAGTAGGAGTGAAGCAGAGCTGGAGGAGAGAGGAAAGCACTGTCCCGTAGGAGAGAACAGGAGACAGGTATGTAAGGTAGAGATTACTCTGGGAGGCCATAAGCTTTCCTGAAGAGATGGGTTTTAAGGCCCTTCTTAAATGATTGAAGACTAGGGGAGAGTCTGATGGCAGTAGGCAAGCTATTCCATAGGAGAGGAGCCGCCCGCGAGAGGTCCTGCAAGCGCGAGTTGGCCGTACGGGTGCGAGCAGTGGTCAGGAGGTGGTCACGGGCAGAGCGGAGGGTACGAGGAGGGGCATATCTATGGATTAGTGAAGAGATATAAGTGGGGCTAGAATTGTTCAGTGCTTTAAATGTATGGGTTAGCACTTTGAATTGACTCCTATAGCATACAGGGAGCCAATGTAAGGACTGGCAGAGGGGTGAGGTGTGAGAGGACCGACTAGAGAGGAAAATCAGTCTAGCTGCAGCATTCATTACAGACTGTAGCGGGGCAATACGGCTTTTGGGGAGACCAATCAGGAGAGGGTTACAGTAATCCATGCTGGAAATTACTAGAGCATGGACAAGCTCCTTGGTAGCATCTTGCGTAAGAAAGGGGCGAATGCGGGCTATGTTTTTGAGTTGAAACCTACAGGACTTGGCAACAAACTGGATGTGAGACTCAAAGGTGAGACCAGAGTCAAGTATGACGCCAAGACAGCGCGCTTGCAGAGATGGACTTATGTGGATATCACTGACTTGAAGGGAGAGCAAGAGAGGAGGATCAGTATTCGGAGGAGGAAAGACAAGGAGTTCAGTTTTAGAGAGGTTAAGTTTCAGAAAGCGTGAGGACATCCAGTCAGAGATGGAAGAAAGGCAAGCAGCGACACGTTGCAGGACGGCAGGGGAGAGGTCCGGGGAGGAGAGGTATATCTGAGTGTCATCAGCGTACAGGTGGTAGTGGAATCCAAAAGAGGCAATAAGTTTACCAAGAGAGGCAGTATAAAGAGAAAATAGAAGGGGACCAAGGACAGACCCTTGGGGAACTCCAACCGAGACAGGACGAGGGGAGGAGGTATCCTTGGAAAAGGAGACACTGAATGAGCGTTGGGAGAGATAGGAGGAAAACCAAGAGAGGACAGAGTCACAGAGACCAAGCGATTGAAGAGTTTGAAGGAGGAGGGCATGATCAACGGTGTCAAAGGCAGCAGAGAGGTCAAGGAGAATTAATATGGAGTAGTTGACCTCATAAGTCTAACTGATGGTTGTAATAAAATGTCAATATACTCTGATAAGTTTGATAAAACAGAATTGATCTGGAGACAATAGGTCTACCTGGTGGATTGGTCTCATTCTTGTGTATTTTTGGTAAAAAGTATATAACTGGAATTTTTGGATGAGTTATCTTTAAAAAAGAAAATTCTTTTTTGTTGAGGATATTGGAATTTAAGCCTTTGGTTAGAAATGATATAAGGGAGTTTTGGATGGTATGGGTTGGGTCTGATAGTAGCTTGTCATATACTTTACATTAAGCTGTCTAAATGCTTCTTTGATGTACATTTCTTGTGAGAGTATAACTAGGCTGCCCCCTTTATTGGCTGGTTGATGACTATAGTGTCATCTTTTTTAAGCTCTGTGAGAGCTTTTCTTTCTTGAAAGGTTAAGTTATATTGGTTATATTTATGATATTTGTGGTTGTTTTTTTTGGAGGTAATAATTTTTTCTAAGTCTTGCTTTACCAAATTCTCAAAAACTTCTATCGGCCAGATTTGAAACTTGAAGGGTAAAAAGTAGAGTTATTCTTAAGGGTGGTATTTTTCACTGGTATCTCGTCGTTAATACCTAGTGGTGTGGGGGAATAGTTGACCTGATTAATAGGTTGATTATCAATTCTGCTGCTAAAAAATCTTTTTAGTGTAGCTTTCCTAACAAACTTATTTAAATCTAAAAAGGCTTGGAATGGTTGATAGGGATTGGTAGGTGCAAATTTGAGGCCATTAATTAAAACCAAAATTTGGGTAGTAGTTAAAGTTTTTTGGGAAAGGTTAAAAATTCC